TCTGGGTGGCAGACACGCTTCCTCTTCAGCTCCCTCGCGCATCGCACTGATACCGGAGCCGGAAGATGACGCCATCTTCCGTCACTGGCATCACTAAGCGGCGTGCGAGGGAGCTGAAGAGGAAGCACTCAGGGGAGAGTGCTCCTTCGCGCACCGGCCACCCAGACAGCCCGCCCGCCTGCCGGGTGTCAGCAGGGCCAGCCTCGGGGGGCCCTGGGGTGGCCGGCTCCTGGGCCCCCCAGAGGAGAGGCTGGCCCAGTGGGTACATACCTGGTCGCAGGGGCGGCTGGGCCCCCTGGTGGGCCGGGCCCGGTCGCAGCTGCGACCCCTGCGACCCTGGTATGTACGCCACTGACCATGACACAGACAGACAGAAACACACACACAAACCATACAGACAGTCAGACACCATGACACAGACAGACACACACACACACCATACAGACAGACACCATGACAAAGACAGATAGACACACCCACACACACACCATACAGACAGACACCATGACACAGACAGACAGACACACACACCATACAGACAGACACCATGACACAGACAGACACACACACACCATACAGACAGACACACACACAACATACAGACAGACACATTACTAATACCTGCCAGGGGGAGGTCTTCTGGGGGAGCTGCGCTGTCTCTGCTCTCCAGCCCTCGCTCGCTGCTGAATGAGACCGGCGCCAGAATATGACGTCGTATTCCTGCGCCGGTCTCATTCAGTTGCGCGCTGGATGGCGGGAGAGCAGAGACAGCGCAGCTCCCCCAGCGACCCTCAGAAGACCCCCCCAGCGGCCGCCAGAAGCCCCCAGCGGCTGCCAGAAGCTCCCAGAAGACCTCCCCAGCGGCCGCCAGCAGACCCAGGTGTCTGCCCGGCCCCAGGTGCCGACGGCCCACCGGGAAATTTCCCGGTATCCCGGTGGGCCAGTCCGGCCCTGCACTTCCCTGATCTATAGGCTACCCCCCCATCCCTCACTTCCCTGATGTATAGGCTATCTCTCCCCCCCATGCCTCACTTTGATCTGTAGGCTGCCCCCCATCTCTCACTTACCTTATCTGTAGGCTGCCCCCCATCTCTCACTTACCTTATCTGTAGGCTGCCCTCCATCTCTCACTTACCTTATCTGTATGCTGCCCCCATCCCTCACTTACTTGATCTGTAGGCTGCCCCCCCATCCTCCCTCACTTACCTGATCTGCAGGCTGTCTCCGCTGGCTGCATGTGCTGTTTCCCTGCTGATTGTCAGGAGAGAGAAGCAGGGATAAGATGTAGCTTCCTATCCCTGTCTCTCTCCATACACAGCACCACCTACTGACTCAGAAAAAACAAGCTGTCTGCTGACATCATCAGAAGCGGTAGCCTGATCCTATCACAATGCTTCCCAATAGGATTAGCTGAGACTGACAAAGAGGCAGATCAGGGGCAGAGCCAGCATGAGTCAAACACAGCCCTGGCCAATCAGCATCTCCTCATAGAGATGAATTGAATCAATGAATCTATATGAGGAAAGTTCGGTGTCTGCATGCAGAGGGAGGAGATACTGAATGTTTGGATGCATTTTAGGCAGCAATGACCCAGGAAGGATCTCTAACAGCCATCTAAGGAGTGGCCAGTGAAGTTATCACTAGGCTGTAATGTAAACACTGCATTTTCTCTGAAAAGACAGTGTTTACAGCAAAAAGCTTGAAGGTAATGATTCTACTCACCAGAACAAATTCAATAAGCTGTAGTTGTTCTGGTGACTATAGTGTCCCTTTAATACCTTAGGTTGTCTTCTTTTAAAAAATATATGCATGTGAAGGGTTATTCAGGGATTCCTGACAGCTATCAGTGTTACAATGTGTCACGTATTCATCCGCTTATAGAAATGTGGTTAATGACATTTATTGTCCACACAGGAAAAGTTGTGCCGAGCAGCAACCTAATCCACAGAAGGGTTAATGTTGAGCAGCAATTATGCAAATGAAACCTGGTAACTGACTTTGGGGTCAAAGGCCGGTTACAGCCTATCAGAACTAAAGGAGGGGTATTTAGGCCCAGTTCTCAGCCTGCTCAGTGCCCTGTCGTGGTTTCCCTTGTGGTTGTCTGAGAGCGCGTTCCTGTTTATAGTTTTCTACCTGGTTTTTGACTTTGGCTTTGTTTATTGACTTCTCTATATTCTGGTATCCTGACTCCTGGCTTTCCTCATCGCTATGTCCCTTTCTGTGTTCCCTGACCTCGGCTAGTATTTTTGACTATTCTGTGTACGTTAAATACGGCCATTCTAAGGACCGGTAATACGTTACTTATTTGTCATCCGTGCTGTACAGTTCTACGTGCTGGATCAAACAGTAATCCTGACACAATGTAACTTGCGTTCATTTTGAAAAAAAAAATGGTTTGGAAATAGCAAAGTGCTACTTGTACTTATAGCCTTATAACTTTCCAAAAAAAGCTAAGAACATGTTATCATTGGGTATTTCTAAACTCAGGACAAAATGTAGAAACTATTTAGCACGGGTGTTTTTTGGTGGTTGTAGATGCGTAACAGAATCTGTTATCATATTTCATTAAAAAAATGTATAGTAAAGGATATGATGAAAATAATGGTGAGACCATTTAATGGTGAGAAAAACAGTATATAATATGTGTGGGTGCAGTAAATGAGTAAGAGGAAAATTACAGCTAAACACAACCAACGCAGAAATTGAAAAACAGCCCCGGTCCAAAACGGTAAGAAAATTGAAAAGCGGTCTGGTCACTAAGGGGTTAATAGTGATCACTGGTTTAGTTCCTCCATCATGAAATCCAGGCTATTTTTGCTAACTGTGACATTATATGTGGGTTTTAAGTATATTAATAAAGGTTCATTTTTAATATTTACTTTTACTTCATATTAGTCACTTTAGTCTCCTTTAGGTATTCTGATTAGCTTTTTGACCATGTAAACACCTCTTTAGTCCCAGGTTGCATTTTGTTTAAGGCATTTGTGGTTAACCCCCACAATTATGATGTTCTCATTAAAAGCTCCAATTTCCTCTCAAGTTTGCTGTGTGTTTTTGTAACATTCTATGTCTGTTATGGCATTGTGTGAAGGCAGGATGTCGCTGTGGTAGTAAAAGTGGTTAAGATTTAGAATCTAAGTAAAAAAATGATATGTTTAAATGTGTTATTATATCAAAGGGTGTGTTTAGTTATGTCGTGATGTGCTATGGTGTGTTTTATGTTTAGCTGTGCTATAACTTGTTCATTTGTGTTTAGTTTTCCATAACGTGTTAATTTATGTTAGCTGTGCCATGGTGTGTTTTATGTTTAGTTGTCGCGTGGTGTGTTGTGTTATGTTTTGTAGGGGCCCTAATGTGTTGTTTTATTTTGTCTCATGATGATCTGTGTTATTGAGTCTTACTATATTGTCCTTCAGTGTGTCATTGTGTTTAATTGTGCCATAGTGTGTTGTGTTATGCTGTGCTATGGTGTAATTATGTTTAGTTGTGTTATGTTTAGTTTGCCATTGTGTGTTGTATTATGTTGTGCTATGTATTGTTATGTTATTGTGTGTTATTATGTTTAGTTGTTGTCAATGCAATTTGTAAATACATTAAATAATGTCCTCCTCCCTTGCACCCACCCCTGAGCGGCAGATGAATAGTTAGCTTATTCTGGCTTTCGGCTTCCCAGACAGGTTAATCCTTTTCCCAGCTTTTCAATGAATTCCAGGATATCCAGTAGTAAAGAACAAATTGTAACTTTACTGATTAAAATACAGGATACAGAAAATAAGCTTGAATAACATAAAAAGTCCACATCACTAACGCGTTTCGACCTCCAGGTCTTTGTCAAAGTGTGTGGTGAATGCTGGTCTTCTCTCTCTTAAATAGTGATTCTGTCTTTAAATTTGGCGCCGTTTTGCCGGCGTCCGTCTTCATTTCCGGGTTCGCCGCACTTCCGTGTCACATGACCTCCCGTCCGATCACATGATCATACATCGTGACGTCACTTCCGGGTTTTCGGTCCTCACTTTGTGGACTCTGTATATATCTACAGTACTGGCGTTTTCGCCATGTTTAAAATGGGAAAAGAACCCTACATTCAGAAAAACTTTAAAAAGATCAGTCTAGTTTATAAATTAAATCTTATTGTTTCACTATAATTAGACATTAACCAAATATATGTACATAGATTAAAACAGCCATATATTTGACTAGAAATATTTCATAATATTTACACATCTATGTAATAATAATCATCATTCATAGAATTCAAATTAAAACTATATAAAGATTATATTTCACATAATTATACATCTTTTATATCAAATTACATAGATAAGAGGACATGTTTACATAAAAAAATGATTTTTTATATTTTAACATCTTTACAATATGAGGAGGATAATCCCCTTAAAGTAAAATATACTTATAATGAGGAATAATTAGTAATGCATCATCCCATATAAAAATATAATAGTAATAATGCAATATATAAACCTATGTATAAAAGAGGGATATAATGTATCTGTAGGAGACAAGAAAATATTAGTTAATTTTAAAAATTGATTAAAAAATGGAGGTAAATAAAATGTAAAGTATAAAATATTTTATATGTAAAAATTATATATAAAAAAGTGGAAACCCACAATTGAAATATCCAATAAAAATCGCAAGTAAAATGAGATATATATTCGGGGGTCATGTAACTTAATAAAATTAATTTAATACTGACACCCCAAAATCAACGTTGAGACCACCAAGGGACAAAGTGCCCCCTCCTTATTAGTATGTAGGGCCCCCACCCACCGCTCAGGAGTGGGGGCCAAGGGGGAGGACATTAGGTCCACTACAACCTGTTCACAATCCTAAATACATCGCTGTGTATAAAGGGCCGGATGGCAAGCTGCACTGGATTTCCCCGAATATACAGGAAGGATCACAGGGTGGTTACCTAATAATATCCATCTGACATTTACATAATACAGGCTTCCTGTGTGCACAGAGACAGGGTCATGGCTACAGTCTACTTCTGTGTCTTAAGAATGAGGTCTGAGACCACCACATCACTGTGTCTGCAAATCCTTATTATCACAGGTAAGGGAGATCAGTATTATACTCTCAGTATCACAGGTAAAGGGGATCATTATAATTCCCTCAGTATCAGAGGTAAGGGAGATCAGTATTATACCCTCAGTATCCATGGTAAGGGGGATCATTATAATACCCTCAGTATCCATGGTAAGGGGGAACATTATAATACTCTCAGTATCCCAGGTGGGGGGGATCATTATAATACTCTCAGTATCCCAGGTGGGGGGGATCATTATAATACTCTCAGTATCACAGGTGGGGGGGGATCATTATAATACTCCCAGTATCCCAGGTAAGGGAGATCATTATAATACCCTCAGTATCTCAGGTAAGGAACATCATTATAATACCCTCAGTATCTCAGGTAAGGGAGATCATTATAATACCCTCAGTATCCCAGGTAAGGGGGATCATTATAATACCCTCAGTATCCAAGGTAAGGGGGATCATTATAATACCCTCAGTATCCCAGGTAAGGGGGATCATTATAATACCCTCAGTATCCCAGGTAAGGGGGATCATTATAATACCCTCAGTATCCCAGGTAAGGGAGATCTCAGTATCCCAGGTAAGGGAGATCTCAGTATCCCAGGTAAAGGGGAACATTATAATACTCTCAGTATCCCAGGTGGGGGGGATCATTATAATACTCTCAGTATCACAGGTGGGGGGGGATCATTATAATACTCCCAGTATCCCAGGTAAGGGAGATCATTATAATACTCTCAGTATCCCAGGTAAGGGAGATCATTATAATACCCTCAGTATCCCAGGTAAGGGAGATCATTATAATACTCCCAGTATCCCAGGTAAGGGAGATCATTATAATACTCCCAGTATCCCAGGTAAGGGAGATCATTATAATACTCCCAGTATCCCAGGTAAGGGAGATCATTATAATACTCCCAGTATCCCAGGTAAGGGAGATCATTATAATACTCCCAGTATCCCAGGTAAGGGAGATCATTATAATACTCTCAGTATCCCAGGTAAGGAACATCATTATAATACCCTCAGTATCCCAGGTAAGGGAGATCATTATAATACCCTCAGTATCCCAGGTAAGGGAGATCATTATAATACTCCCAGTATCTCAGGTAAGGGAGATCATTATAATACTCCCAGTATCCCAGGTAAGGGAGATCATTATAATACTCCCAGTATCCCAGGTAAGGGAGATCATTATAATACTCCCAGTATCCCAGGTAAGGGAGATCATTATAATACTCCCAGTATCCCAGGTAAGGGAGATCATTATAATACTCCCAGTATCTCAGGTAAGGGAGATCATTATAATACTCCCAGTATCCCAGGTAAGGGAGATCATTATAATACTCCCAGTATCCCAGGTAAGGGAGATCATTATAATACTCCCAGTATCCCAGGTAAGGGAGATCATTATAATACTCCCAGTATCCCAGGTAAGGGAGATCATTATAATACTCCCAGTATCCCAGGTAAGGGAGATCATTATAATACTCTCAGTATCTCAGGTAAGGAACATCATTATAATACCCTCAGTATCTCAGGTAAGGAACATCATTATAATACCCTCAGTATCTCAGGTAAGGAACATCATTATAATACCCTCAGTATCCCAGGTAAGGGAGATCATTATAATACTCTCAGTATCTCAGGTAAGGGAGATCATTATAATACCTCAGTATCTCAGGTAAGGAACATCATTATAATACCCTCAGTATCTCAGGTAAGGAACATCATTATAATACCCTCAGTATCCCAGGTAAGGGAGATCATTATAATACTCTCAGTATCTCAGGTAAGGGAGATCATTATAATACTCCCAGTATCCCAGGTAAGGGAGATCATTATAATAGTCCCAGTATCCCAGGTAAGGGAGATCATTATAATACTCCCAGTATCCCAGGTAAGGGAGATCATTATAATACTCCCAGTATCCCAGGTAAGGGAGATCATTATAATACTCTCAGTATCTCAGGTAAGGAACATCATTATAATACCCTCAGTATCTCAGGTAAGGAACATCATTATAATACCCTCAGTATCCCAGGTAAGGGAGATCATTATAATACTCTCAGTATCTCAGGTAAGGGAGATCATTATAATACCCTCAGTATCCCAGGTAAGGGGGATCATTATAATACCCTCAGTATCCCAGGTAAGGGGGATCATTATAATACCCTCAGTATCCCAGGTAAGGGGGATCATTATAATACCCTCAGTATCCCAGGTAAGGGAGATCATTATAATACTCTCAGTATCTCAGGTAAGGGAGATCATTATAATACCCTCAGTATCTCAGGTAAGGGAGATCATTATAATACCCTCAGTATCCCAGGTAAGGGAGATCATTATAATACTCCCAGTATCCCAGGTAAGGGAGATCATTATAATACCCTCAGTATCCCAGGTAAGGGGGATCATTATAATACCCTCAGTATCTCAGGTAAGGGAGATCATTATAATACCCTCAGTATCTCAGGTAAGGGAGATCATTATAATACCCTCAGTATCTCAGGTAAGGGAGATCATTATAATACCCTCAGTATCTCAGGTAAGGGAGATCATTATAATACCCTCAGTATCTCAGGTAAGGGAGATCATTATAATACCCTCAGTATCTCAGGTAAGGAACATCATTATAATACCCTCAGTATCCCAGGTAAGGGAGATCATTATAATACCCTCAGTATCTCAGGTAAGGGAGATCATTATAATACCCTCAGTATCCCAGGTAAGGGAGATCATTATAATACCCTCAGTATCTCAGGTAAGGGAGATCATTATAATACCCTCAGTATCTCAGGTAAGGAACATCATTATAATACCCTCAGTATCTCAGGTAAGGGAGATCATTATAATACCCTCAGTATCCCAGGTAAGGGAGATCATTATAATACCCTCAGTATCTCAGGTAAGGGAGATCATTATAATACCCTCAGTATCTCAGGTAAGGGGGATCATTATAATACCCTCAGTATCTCAGGTAAGGGAGATCATTATAATACCCTCAGTATCTCAGGTAAGGAAGATCATTATAATACCCTCAGTATCTCAGGTAAGGGAGATCATTATAATACCCTCAGTATCCCAGGTAAGGGAGATCATTATAATACCCTCAGTATCCCAGGTAAGGGAGATCATTATAATACCCTCAGTATCCCAGGTAAGGGAGATCATTATAATACCCTCAGTATCTCAGGTAAGGGAGATCATTATAATACTCTCAGTATCCCAGGTAAGGGAGATCATTATAATACCCTCAGTATCCCAGGTAAGGGAGATCATTATAATACTCTCAGTATCCCAGGTAGAGGATCATATAATACCACCAGTATCTCAGTAGGAACATCATTATAATACTCTCAGTATCTCAGGTAGGGAGATCATTATAATACCTCAGTATCTCAGAGTAAGGAGATCATTATAATACCCTCAATTATCCCAGGTAAGGGGGAGATCATTATAATACCCTCAGTATCTCAGGTAAGGGAGATCATTATAATACCCTCAGTATCTCAGGTAAGGGAGATCATTATAATACTCTCAGTATCCCAGGTAAGGGGGATCATTATAATACCCTCAGTATCTCAGGTAAGGAACATCATTATAATACTCTCAGTATCTCAGGTAAGGGAGATCATTATAATACCCTCAGTATCTCAGGTAAGGAACATCATTATAATACTCTCAGTATCTCAGGTAAGGGAGATCATTATAATACCCTCAGTATCTCAGGTAAGGGGGATCATTATAATACCCTCAGTATCCAAGGTAAGGGGGATCATTATAATACCCTCAGTATCCCAGGTAAGGGGGATCATTATAATACCCTCAGTATCCCAGGTAAGGGGGATCATTATAATACCCTCAGTATCCCAGGTAAGGGAGATCTCAGTATCCCAGGTAAGGGAGATCTCAGTATCCCAGGTAAAGGGGAACATTATAATACTCTCAGTATCCCAGGTGGGGGGGATCATTATAATACTCTCAGTATCACAGGTGGGGGGGGATCATTATAATACTCCCAGTATCCCAGGTAAGGGAGATCATTATAATACTCTCAGTATCCCAGGTAAGGGAGATCATTATAATACCCTCAGTATCCCAGGTAAGGGAGATCATTATAATACTCCCAGTATCCCAGGTAAGGGAGATCATTATAATACTCCCAGTATCCCAGGTAAGGGAGATCATTATAATACTCCCAGTATCCCAGGTAAGGGAGATCATTATAATACTCCCAGTATCCCAGGTAAGGGAGATCATTATAATACTCCCAGTATCCCAGGTAAGGGAGATCATTATAATACTCTCAGTATCCCAGGTAAGGAACATCATTATAATACCCTCAGTATCCCAGGTAAGGGAGATCATTATAATACCCTCAGTATCCCAGGTAAGGGAGATCATTATAATACCCTCAGTATCCCAGGTAAGGGAGATCATTATAATACCCTCAGTATCCCAGGTAAGGGAGATCATTATAATACTCCCAGTATCTCAGGTAAGGGAGATCATTATAATACTCCCAGTATCCCAGGTAAGGGAGATCATTATAATACTCCCAGTATCCCAGGTAAGGGAGATCATTATAATACTCCCAGTATCCCAGGTAAGGGAGATCATTATAATACTCCCAGTATCCCAGGTAAGGGAGATCATTATAATACTCCCAGTATCCCAGGTAAGGGAGATCATTATAATACTCCCAGTATCCCAGGTAAGGGAGATCATTATAATACTCCCAGTATCTCAGGTAAGGGAGATCATTATAATACTCCCAGTATCCCAGGTAAGGGAGATCATTATAATACTCCCAGTATCCCAGGTAAGGGAGATCATTATAATACTCCCAGTATCCCAGGTAAGGAGATCATTATAATACTCTCAGTATCTCAGGTAAGAACATCATTATAATACCCTCAGTATCTCAGGTAGAACATCATTATAATACCCTCAGTATCTCAGGTAGGAACATCATTATAATACCCTCAGTAGTATCCCAGGTAAGGAGATCATTACTAATACTTTCTAGTATCTCAGGTAGAGAATCATTATAACTCCCAGTATCCAGGTAAGGAGATCATTATAATACTCCCAGTATTATCCCAATTGCAGGGAGGATCATTATAGCTACTCCAGTATCCCAGGTAGGGAAGTCATTATAATACTCCCAGTATCCCAGGTAAGGGGAGATGGTATAATACTCTCAGTATCTCAGGTAAGGAACATCATTATAATAATACCCTCAGTATCTCAGGTAAAGGAACATCATTATAGCCACCCTCGGTATCAGGTAAGGGAGATCATTATAATACTCTCAGTATCCCAGGTAAGGGAGATCATTATAATACCCTCAGTATCCCAGGTAAGGGAGATCATTATAATACTCCCAGTATCCCAGGTAAGGGAGATCATTATAATACTCCCAGTATCCCAGGTAAGGGAGATCATTATAATACTCTCAGTATCCCAGGTAAGGAACATCATTATAATACCCTCAGTATCTCAGGTAAGGGAGATCATTATAATACCCTCAGTATCCCAGGTAAGGGAGATCATTATAATACCCTCAGTATCCCAGGTAAGGGAGATCATTATAATACCCTCAGTATCCCAGGTAAGGGAGATCATTATAATACCCTCAGTATCCCAGGTAAGGGAGATCATTATAATACCCTCAGTATCCCAGGTAAGGGGGATCATTATAATACCCTCAGTATCCCAGGTAAGGGGGATCATTATAATACCCTCAGTATCCCAGGTAAGGGAGATCATTATAATACTCTCAGTATCCCAGGTAAGGGAGATCATTATAATACCCTCAGTATCCCAGGTAAGGGGGATCATTATAATACCCTCAGTATCTCAGGTAAGGGAGATCATTATAATACCCTCAGTATCTCAGGTAAGGGAGATCATTATAATACCCTCAGTATCTCAGGTAAGGGAGATCATTATAATACCCTCAGTATCCCAGGTAAGGGAGATCATTATAATACCCTCAGTATCTCAGGTAAGGGAGATCATTATAATACCCTCAGTATCTCAGGTAAGGGAGATCATTATAATACCCTCAGTATCTCAGGTAAGGGAGATCATTATAATACCCTCAGTATCTCAGGTAAGGGAGATCATTATAATACTCTCAGTATCCCAGGTAAGGGGGATCATTATAATACCCTCAGTATCTCAGGTAAGGAACATCATTATAATACTCTCAGTATCTCAGGTAAGGGAGATCATTATAATACCCTCAGTATCTCAGGTAAGGAACATCATTATAATACTCTCAGTATCTCAGGTAAGGGAGATCATTATAATACCCTCAGTATCTCAGGTAAGGGGGATCATTATAATACCCTCAGTATCCAAGGTAAGGGGGATCATTATAATACCCTCAGTATCCCAGGTAAGGGGGATCATTATAATACCCTCAGTATCCCAGGTAAGGGGGATCATTATAATACCCTCAGTATCCCAGGTAAGGGGGATCATTATAATACCCTCAGTATCTCAGGTAAGGGGGATCATTATAATACCCTCAGTATCCCAGGTAAGGGAGATCATTATAATACCCTCAGTATCCATGGTAAGGGGGATCATTATAATACCCTCAGTATCCATGGTAAGGGGGATCATTATAATACCCTCAGTATCCCAGGTAAGGGGGATCATTATAATACCCTCAGTATCCCAGGTAAGGGAGATCATTATAATACCCTCAGTATCCATGGTAAGGGGGATCATTATAATACCCTCAGTATCTCAGGTAAGCAGGGACGTATTAGCCGCGAGGCAAACAAGGCATTTGCCTTGGGCGGCATTTTTCAAGGCAAATGCCCAGGGCAGATGCCTTGTTTGCCTTGCGGCTAACTGACATCCCGGGCGGCCGGCGAGGGAGCACTTCCCATGAGCTGACTGCTCAGCTCCCTCGCGCACCGCAAAGTGAGGCTGGGAGCCGGAAGATGACGTCATCTTCCGGTTCCCAGCCTCACTCTGCAGCCGACGCGCGAGAGAGCTGAGCAGTCAGCTCATGGGAAGTGCTCCCTCGCCGGCCGCCCGCCCGCCAGCCAGCGCCGCCCGCCCTGCAGCCACTGGACCACCAGGGAGAGAGAGACCCCCCCCCCCCAGCACTCCCAAAGGTAAGGAGGTTGGGGGGGGATTTAAATTAAAAAAAAAGTTAATGTGTGTTTGTGTCTGACTGTGTGTGTGACTGTGTGTGTGTTTGTCTGACTGTGTATGTGTCTGACTCTGTGTGTGTCTGAGTGTGTGTGTTTGTGTGTGTGTGTGTCTGACTGTGTGTGTGTGTTTGTGTCTGACTGTGTTTGTGAGTGTGTGTTTGTGTGTGTCTGACTGTGTGTGTTTGTTTGTGTCTGACTGTGTTTGTGTCTGACTGTGTGTGTGTATGTGACTGTGTGTGTCTGTGTGTGTTTGTGTCTGACTGTGTGTGTCTGTGTGTGTGTGTCTGACTGTGTCTGTGTATGTGTCTGACTGTGTGTGTGTGTGTATTTAGAAGGTGGGGCGGGGGGAAGGGTTGGGTGGCGCGGGGGGGAGGGGGGCGCCTGAGTTTTGTCCTGCCTAGGGCAGCACAAAACCAGGATACACCACTGCAGGTAAGGGGACTCATACCGAGCTCAGGTTTAAATTCACACAGTATATTGTAAATAGAAAGTGAAACAGCGGTCATTCATAAATAAGCATATTAAACCAATTACTGCTAACTGTCTTCCAGTTGGATACGTGCAAATACTACAGGCAAAATGATACGCAGTATTATGTATTATATATAAACTGAGCTACCACATTACAGAGCTCCACAGCTGTAAAACTCACAGTAATATGCAGTGTGTACGAGTGGATCAGAGAGCTCCACAGCTGTAAAACTCACAGTAATATGCAGTGTGTGTGGGGGTATCACAGAGCTCCACAACTGTAAAACTCACAGTAATGTGCAGTGTGTATGAGTGGATCAGAGAACTCCACAGCAATAAAACTCACAGTAATATGCAGTGTGTACGAGTGGATCAGAGAGCTCCACAGCTGTAAAACTCCCAGTAATATGCAGTGTGTATGAGTGGATCACAGAGCTCCAAGGCAATAAAACTCACGGTAATATGCAGTGTGTATGGGGGTATCACAGAGCTCCACAGCTGTAAAACTCACAGTAATATGCAGTGTGTATGGGGGTATCACAGAGCTCAACAGCTGTAAAACTCACAGTAATATGCAGTGTGTACGAGTGGATCAGAGAGCTCCACAGCTGTAAAACTCACAGTAATGTGCATTGTGTATGATTGGATCACAGAGCTCCTCCACAATAAAAGTACCAGTAATGTTCATAGTGGTTTATCACAGAGCTCCATTGCTAAAAAAAAAACCCAAGAGTAATGTGAATTTTGCACAACAGTATCATAGAGCTCCACTGCAAAAAAGCAATATAATGTGTATTGGCTGGATGTGTGTTCTGTCCCCTCTTCTGCTTTCCTTTTTTGCTAATGTGATAATAAAGATTCCCGGAGGTCCATCAAGTGATAATAATGATTTCCCGGTGGTCCAGCAAGTGATAATAATGCTTCCCTGGTGGTCCAGCAAGTGATAATAATGATTCCCCAGTAGGTCCAGCAAGTGATAATAATGGTTCCCTGATGGTCCAGCAAGTGATAATAATGCTTCCCTGGTGGTCCAGCAAATGATAATAATGCTTCCCTGATGGTGCAGCAAGTGATAATAATGCTTCCCTGGTGGTCCAGCAAGTGATAATAAGGATTCCCCAGTAGGTCCAGCAAGTGATGATAATGATTCCCTGGTAGCCTAGCAAGTGATGATAATGATTCCCTGGTGGCCTAGCAAGTGATGATAATGATTACCTGCTGGTCCAGCAAGTGATGATAATGATTCCCTGGTGGCCTAGCAAGTGATAATAATGATTCCCTGGTGGTCCAGTGATGGAGTTTGGTGGAGTGTTTTTTGGTCATGTATGGCAGGAGATTTGTTTTACATAGCTGGAAAGTGTAAGGATGAATATATTTCACTTGCAAAACCAAAGAAAAACATCTTAGACATGCTGTGTTTAGGACGGAGAGGTTGGTTTTCAAGCAGGGTAAGTGGCCCGAGGTTTGGGGACTCTGCAAACCTGGCTATCTGAGAGGTTGGTTATGCACTTAGAATGAACATTAAAATACAATTATTTATTCTCTTAATTTTTCACTCTCTCCCAGGTTCGGTTTGTGCTCTTTCCATTTCTGCCAGCCAGTTATCTATAGATGAATATGAGGGCAGCTCTGTCGTTCTGTCAACATCCTACAGTCTGACCAATCCAAAGGATGTTCTCCGGATAAAATGGGAATTGGACGGGACTTCGCCCACTACTCTCGGCGTATGCACCAAAAAGGAAAACTCTACCTCACATTTCCCATCAAGCGGTTATGAGCGAAGGATGCGTGTCGTGCCAGAGAATGGGTCTCTAATCATTAACCGACTGCAAAAGAAAGACAGTGGAAAATATAGAGTAACGATATATGATGCTTCTCAGTCTGACTCCGTTACCATCACCGTCACTGTGCTGGAGAGCGGTATGTAAAGACAGGGTAACATCCTATTCATTTCTATAATATAAACATGGCACATGGTACCACACTTTAGGATAACAGAGAACTCCCAGATATACTCACACACATGCATCCAGACACAGAAATGACACTCTTAAGGCTATGTATTTCTAGACACACTCACAGACACACAGTTACTCACTGATGGACACACAGACACATGCAGTTACCAATACACACTGCCAGACACCCAGATACCTATACACAAGACACACAGAAACCAAATACACAGCTCCAGTGCTACAGGCTGTACTCAGGATTCTTCTTCTCTCCACTTGGACTTCCTGTATGTGTTGGGAGTAAATGGCCTGACATAACCAGACATGGTTAGAACGAGAGTTGTAAGTACAGCTCGGTAAAGGATATTGTCCCTTAGTATGTTTTTATTTATATACAATTAGCTGAGACATTTCTGTCTATCCAACTGCATTAAATAGCATTAGAGTGAACCCCCATGCAGGCTCCAGTGTTCGACCAGGCCTCTTAGCGGAGTACTGGCTAGATCCACCTTATGGTGGCACAAGTCTTATTTAAACTATCAGAGTTGAGAAAGTGTCACAGGATTACCTGTATCTTTTATTTGGTTTTAGATTTTCAAGACTTCAACAGAACAATGACACCACAAACATCATTTGTTTGCTTCTGTCCGAGTAACATCACCAATATATCAAAATCATCATTGGCCTGGATTTTCCTGGGAACCCGCCTGTCATCTGTCTTCATTCTCCTGGCTTTCGTTTTCTGTAGCTTCTACTTCCGCCAGAAGATCAAGACGAGCAAGACACGTGGCAGACACTATTAAGGAATTCCCAGGAATCCACCCAGTATTCCATCAAAAACTATAAATCTCATTTTATCAGGGTGACAAGTCTAAACAAAATATCAGAATGAAGGTTCATCTTCTAAAATTTTTTGTGCTTAGGTTATTTTTTCTATGTGTTTTGCCAAAAGCCCATACACACTGGCGTCCAATATGAACAGCACATCATAACACAGTCCTATAAGAAGCAAAAAAGTGGTACATACCTCTGGGCAACTTACTTCATCTTCGTTATCTGGAACTCTTTGTATTGGACAAGCCAGGGTGTTCAGGAATCCACAGTGGCCACCAGATAGTTTCTGTTGCTGGACAGAACAAACAAAAAACAAGCAATTGCTTAAAAAGTAGCAGAGGTCCCTAAGCATATCTTATATACCATGGAGGGGGCAGGAGATAAGCTGATATTTGGTCAGAGGAAATAACAAGGAGAAGGCTGGAGAACCTCAAACATGACCCCACTATACAGAATAACACAGCAATACAACTCACAGTAATGAGCAGTGTATGTGTGGATCACAGAGCTCCACAGCAATACAACTCACAGTAATGTGCAGTGTGTGAGTGGATCACAGAGCTCCACAGCAATAAAACTCACAGTAATGTGCAGTGTATGATATCTCATAAGAAACAGTATCCCCATGTCCAAGTTGGTTGGTGTTTTGGAAAGTTACAGGGTCAAGTATAAGACTTGTCCATTTCCGTTTTTACACATTAAAATTTGCCAGATTGATTGATTCTGAAACTGCCCAGGAATGAGAATTACCCAGCATCATGACATGCCATTTGCAAAAGCAGACAAAATGAATGGGGTATGCCCAGTCTTTTTTAGTGGACACTTAGTCACAAGCCCTGGCCAAAGTTAGTGTTCATATTTTTCTTCCCTAATGATATCATTGTAACGATACGTTTACTGTTTTTAGGTGTTTTATACAGTTCCTGGGTTAAATATAGGGCTTACAAATTAAATGCTCCGGACTTTCTGCCTGGGTTGTCAGGCAAGTCCCTCAAAGTATAAATAATAATACATATCTATAAGATGTCTTGGCACTCACCCCTGGTAGAGTTTTAATCCTGATAATTTGCCTTGGTGCAACCTGCATATACATATAAACCAAAGAAAAGGGTGCACTCTCAGGTCTTTTCAACGTGGTTTATTTAAATATTTGCATAAAATTTGTCCCGATCGACGTTTCGACCCAGGATCTTGAGGAAATCCCTCCAGGGTACAAGATACAGGAAGCCAATGTAAAGACTGACAGAGTGGTGTAAGAGGAGCGACTAGAGAGGAAAATCAGTATGGCAGCTAGTGCTAAATACGGTAAATTGTATTAGGTTAATCTATTGTAAGAGCATTGTGTATACAAAACTAAACAATTAAAGTGTTAGTGCTTGGATGAATATACTCACAATGCAAATCAATATGTGCCAAATGAAGGTTATAATAAAAGTGACATTACTATTCAAAAACCTCATGCACTTTAGCTTATTTAGCACTATTTAATTTGTCTCCCACATTTGGAGTTAGTGTAGGACCCACTGATATTGGGGTACTGTGAAGCAGTGGTGGGCTTAACACAATATGGCCATGTGGTGGAACTCAATCCCCATATTTGTTTTCTTAGGTGATTTTAAGTATCCTGGTAAGATTATTGGTGTCTTTTTATGTGTGCACCGTAACTTAATTTGTATCATTTATTTATATTGGTCACTACAGCAGCACCATTCCTGTAGAATGCTTGTTTCGGTTGCGCCCCAATCCTGTTTGTCAAGGGCAAGGGGGAGAGCGATCTGATAAGGTCACAGTACAGAATCAAGTGGGCAAGTGGTGGGGCGAGAGGAAAGGAGAAGTGCAGCCATCTCTTGTTCAGTAGACAGGAAGAAAGTCTGAAGGGTAGGAAAGGCATGATCTAGGTGCGGTTGAGAAAGAGAGGGGCAAGGTTGGGACTTTTTTCCTTAACTGTTACATGTTTAGCATGTGTAATTATGAGTAATTATCCCCTCCTCCCCCCCATAATGGCCTGGATGGGACAGATTGGCTACGAGACTACCGGCCATTAGGGCGTACTATGCCACTCTTACCTTGTGTAAGCTCATATTGTGCAGGGTGTCATAGTACGCCCTAACGGCATTGTGACGGAACGCTGGCACTCCGACTGAGTACCTCCGCCAATCGATGCTCCTAGTGCTCGCTGAGGACTCCAAGTACTCCAACCGACACCATCAGCACTGCAGACCCCACTTTCAGCGATGCAACTGCGCCGGGGTCTCTGCTGTCTCCACCCACCCTGGACCCAAGGCCAGGATCCAGCTTCCAGTGGGTGAACCTCTCTTTCCCCAGAGAGCAGGAACAGGAACAAATCAAGCTATTGCAAGAGCTTCCTCTGGGGAGTAAGTGATTATAGTAATCCCCAGAGTGTAGGTATCCCTTCCCCCAAACATGAGCCAAGGCTTAATGCTGGAACAAGACTGATTTACTGGCACACAGAACTCACAATTTATGCAACACAAAACTCCTCCTCTGGGCCAGGCTAGATAATTGAGTTTCTACAATACACAAAGCTCAATTATCTGCTGGCAAGAAATAATACAGTTTCATAAAACACACAGGGACCCCAAAACATGCAATAACCCCATAAAAAGTATATCCTTGGAACCGGGGGATCTGGGTGAACCACATATCCAAAATTCACCCAGATCCGTTTAGTACTTTGGAAAATACAGTTTAATGCAGATTCTGCAGAACATATACAGGCTAAATGAAAACAATCACTGTATAATGTGTCCCCTGCTGTATAGTCCAAAACCACTGCACGATGTCTCTGTGCACCAAATACTGGCGAGATGGCACCGTGTTGAAAAGTCCAAACAGTGTCTGTGAGTTAAAATGGCCGCCATCCATTGTTCTCACCATGTGCTTCTGATACAGGAAATGGTGGCCACCAGTAACTCCACAGTATGTCCCCAGATGGTTCTTAAAGGGCCAGCAGCAGCACAACACAAATCCATTATGCCCAAATCATGTCTTTAAAGGGCAATACATCCCAGGGGCCATAGTCACAGGGCAAGAGGCGGGCAAGCAGTCCTCTCCAGGCACAAGTGGCGAAGGGCACTTCGTCACACATCTTCCCTTTGGGGGAAGACTAAACAGGTACCTGACCTTCTGCCGGTCAGTACCTAGATTAGTCGGGCAGCCCACCCACAAAGAAAAATACGCAGAGTAACCCCCCCACAATAAATGGTACTGGCCTGTAGGTTCAAGTTTGTAGTGGGACAGCGCAGCACTCTCGGTCTCCCTGGTGCAGCTAGGCAAACTGCTGGTGTTGCTTGGGGGGCAGAGGCCAGCGGCGCTCTGCCCTGCTGCCAGCTCTTCCACTGGGGTAACCCGTGGTAAGTCAGGCTCTGATACAGGGGAAATGGGGGGGCAGAGGCTAACAGAGCTCTGCCCAGATGCCAGCTCTTCTGCTGGGAGGGGGTCAGTGGGTATCGCAGGCTCATCCACTGCCCCCAGGACCCGGTTGGGATGTAGCTGGGGAGGGGAAGTTTCACTTACCTCCTCCTCCTGGCATCCCTGCGGAGTTGGTTGGGGATCTGGACCGCCCGTCCAGCCTCCCTGTAGGACTGGCACAGAGACCGCGGTCCCATCTGCGCCAGTGTGGGTAGGTTTGTCTTCCCCCTCTCCCGGTATCTCTGGCTGCTGTTGGAGGGGGAGGCTGGTTGCCCCAACTCCCCAGGATGCTGGTTGCTGTAAGGTGGAGGGATTGACCATCACCTCCTCCTGGAACTCAGGCTGCCGCTGGGGAGAGAGACCAGTTGTCTCCTCTCCCTGTATATTATACTGCCGCTGGGGACCTAGGCTGACTGCCCAGCATCCCTGTAGGGCCGGCAGAGAGACTTCGGTCCCATCTCCGCTTGCCATTTCTGTGTGTCCCCAGGACAAGTCTATGAGGTCGCCCACCTCCGGCTGCTGTTGGAGAGGGAGGCCGGTTGCCTCCCCTCCCCAGGACGCTGGTTGCTGTACGGGGGAGGGATCTACCATCACCTCCTCCTGGAACTCAGGCCGCCGCTGGGGAGAGAGACCGGTTGTCTCTTCCCTCTGTACGGTGCACTGCCGCTGGGATGGGAGGTCGCTGCTCTCCTCTCCCTGTAACTCACTCTGTCGCTGGAGACGGGGTGTCAATACCCCCAAACTCCACAGTTGGTACTCGAAGTTCCGTGTGTCTTGGTTCTCAGCACTCAACATGCGCATCACTTGATGGACCACCTCATCTGAAGGGTTTGGGCCAAACCAGACCAGCCGCGCCTTTACTTCCTTCATGAAATCAGCACCCTCATAGCACTGTGACAGGCGGATTTGCAATTCACTGGCTGCTGTCCAGGGTCTTGCTAGCTCCATGTTGCTGTAGGTATGGACGCTGCGCAGAGGCTAGTGTTGCCCTCAATTATAAATCCGTAACTCCACACGTTACCGGTGTCTCCGAACTGCTGGTCCTCGCACTAGGACGCCATCCCACCGCTGCCACCAAATGTGACGGAACGCTGGCACTCCGACTGAGTACCTCCGCCAATCAATGCTCCTAGTGCTCGCTGAGGACTCCAAGCACTCCAACCGACACCATCAGCACTGCAGACCCCACTTTCAGCGATGCAACTGCGCCGGGGTCTCTGCTGTCTCCACCCACCCTGGACCCAAGGCCAGGATCCAGCTTCTAGTGGGTGAACCTCTCTTTCCCCAGAGAGCAGGAACAAGCTCTTAGCAGAACTTAGTGATCATACCCTGGGGAGTATAGTGATTATAGCAATCCCCAGAGTGTAGGTATCCCTTCCCCCAAACATGAGCCAAGGCTTAATGCTGGAACAAGACTGATTTACTGGCACACAGAACTTACAATTTATGCAACACAAAACTCCTCCTCTGGGCCAGGCTAGATAATTGAGTTTCTACAATACACAAAGCTCAATTATCTGCTGGCCAGAAATAATACAGTTTCATAAAACACACAGGGACCCCAAAACATGCAATAAACCCATAAAAATCCTTGGAACCGGGGGATCTGGGTGAACCACATATCCAAAATTCACCCAGATCCGCTCAGTACTTTGGAAAATACAGTTTAATGCAGATTCTGCAGAACATATACAGGCTAAATGAAAAACAATCACTTTATAATGTGTCCCCTGCTGTATAGTCCAAAACCACTGCACGATGTCTCTGTGCACCAAATACTGGCTAGATGGCACCGTGTTGAAAAGTCCAAACAGTGTCTGTGAGTTAAAATGGCCGCCATCCATTGTTCTCACCATGTGCTTCTGATACAGGAAATGGTGGCCACCCAGTAACCCCACAGTATGTCCCCAGATGGTTCTTAAAGGGCCAGCAGCAGCACAACACAAATCCATTATGCCCAAATCATGTCTTTAAAGGGCTATACATCCCAGGGGCCATAGTCACAGGGCAAGAGGCGGGCAAGCAGTCCTCTCCAGGCACAAGTGGCGAAGGGCACTTCGTCACAGGCATTAACAGGTTAATTACAGTTTGGTATAGTATTTACTAAAGGAGGTGGATATGGTATATACATTAATATGTCTTCCACCCATGGAAGTAACAAAACATTAAGTTAATCAGTCCATAGGTTTATATTCTTTAGTATGCTTTTTGCCAACCTTATCTCTCTTGATTGCATGTGCAATGAGATGAGGAATGTCCTATAGGCTAGAAATCTTGTTATTGGAAGCATGGGTTGTATAATCGTACTGGATTTATTCCTTTGAATGTTGGGTGCAGTACATAACCTGATTTGGCCTGCATTGTACAACTGATTGCCTTAACCATAATCTGATGTAACTTAATAAATTTATCACACCTGTTTATAATAATGACTTGATATTGTGAATAAATCAGTCCTAGATTTGTTTTACTGAGTCTCCCTTCCTGATCTTGTCTGTAGTGAGCTATGTGTGTGTGTCAGTGAG